AGGAGAGAGAGGTGGGTGGGAAAGAAGGAAGGAAGGGGTGGGGGTGGGGGGAGGCGGCAAGGTGGCTGGCCTCACCCCGACCGTTTCTTTCTCTGTCTCCGGTTCACTCCTGCACCAACCTCCCAGTGTTACTGCCACTACTGTAATGCAGAATTGGACACGAGGTATGTTATGGCAGGGGAGGGGGCTTTGCCCGCTCCTGGGTTGGGACGGCTTGGTCCTAAGTGCCTGGTGTTTGGGTGGGGAACCCCAGGTGGGTTTGGACACTCCAATCATTGAATCACAGGATTGTATAAAAAGTTCCAAGTTCGTTACGGTTCATCCCAAGCCACTGCCTGACACTGAAGAGCATCACCAATGATAGGGATTTGGAGAGCTGGAGAAATTAATTTATGATTTCACTTAATAAATTTTATGTTGTTTTTTTTTAGTTGTGGCAAAATATCCATAACATAAAATTTACCATTAGTGACATTTAGTATATTCACAATGTTGTTCATCTACCACTATCTAGCTCTGAAAAATTTTATCACCCCAAAGGGGACTCTGTCCCCATAAGCAGTCCCTCCACCCTGCCCCTGGCAACCACTACTCTACTCTCTCTATGAATTCACCTATTCTGGAAATTTCATATAAATGGGATCATACACTATGTGGCCTTTTGTGCCTGACTTTATTCACTTAGCGTATTGTCTTCAAGGTTCATCCAGCCTGTAGCGTGTATCAGTACTTCATCCTTTTTCATGGCTGAATAGTACTCCATTGTGTGGTAAACCACACTTTGTTATCCATTCGTCAGTTGAAGGACACCTGAGTTGTTTCCACCTTTTGACTGTTGTGAGTGCTGCTGTGAACAACTGTGTACAAGTTTTCATTTGAACACCTGCTCCCAGTTCTTTTAGGTACATACCTAGGAGAGGAATTGCTGGGTCATTTGATAATTCTATGTTTCAGTTACTGAGGAACTCACTCAATCAATTTTTATTGAGCAACTACTCTATGACGAATGGTGGATTAGTTGAAATGATAAATTGTACGTTATGTGGATTTTACCACAATTAAAAACAAAACAAAACTATAAAAGGGGTGGAGGCTAGAGTCACCCTCAGGATCTTTTTGTTTGTGGATCCCTGCACTAGACTGTGAGCCCCTCGGGGAGGAAGAGTCAACTTAATCTGTCCCTGGGACTCCAGTGCCCAGAGCAAACTTGATATATTCACTCCCTGCACTAACCTTGTGTGCCCCAGGGTGCCATGTTGGGGGTACAGTGGAGCTGCAGCACAGGAGGTCCTCCAGCTCATGAGGCCGCCCTCTAGTGGGAGGGCAGGGAGCAAACTAAACTCCATGAATTTCCTTGGAAGGCCGGACAGGGTGCTGTAGAGGGCACCTCCTTTCCACTGGTTGGTCAGAAGAACCCCTCTCTGAAGAGGAGATATTTGTACTGAGTAATGGAGAGGAGCTGCCTGAATGAGATCTACGGACGTGTGCCTCAGGGGGTGGAAAGGGACAGAGTGAGCAGAGCATGGTGAGTGAGGAGATGCACAATTGATGCACAAATACATTTCTTTCTTTTTCCTTCCTTTCCTTAGAAGTGACCCCTGCTGTGCTTTCTAGCAACCATGCACCATCTCAGCTCAACCGTCACGGGCCCTCCATCTCCCAGGTAGTCTCACCTCCCAAGAAACCTCTCTGTGCCCTGGACTGCAAGTTTGGAGGGTAATGAACTGGCTCCTTTGAGGAACAACACCTGTCTCCCCAGAGGCACAGTGGGAAGGCGTCTCTGAGGGCCACACGGAGGTGGGCCCGGAGAGTGGCCAAGTGCGCTTCGGCAGGGGTCTCCCACAGCTCTTCTTCTAGACCTTTTTTCTGCTCTCCCTGCTGTTTCTGTAATAAAATGTACTTGTTGAAATGGCTGAATGCTTGGTTATTTCCTTCACCCCACATCGAGAGTTAGTAACATTCAGGGTGGCAGGGGTGCCAAGGACCATGTATACCACCTAATTATGGCAACAACCCTAGAAGGAAGTTCTGTTATGGTGCTTGCTTTATAGGGGAAGAAACTGTGGCTCGGAGGGTGTTATGCAAAGTGCTGAGGTCCCAGAAACCCTCGGGGTGTGTTCTTGGATTCCCAGAGAAATAACCTGGAGGACTTAATTTTGGTTTTTAAAATTTATTTTTAAGGTGGATAGAATTGCCATTAGTTTAAAAATAGTTTGTTTGTTATTTGGTATGTTTGAAATGTTACACCAGCTTTTAAAGCCAACATGGCTTAAAGTTAACACGGAGCAAGGTTATTGTCAATTCCGTACGATGGACTGTAACACAGTCGGCTTTGTAGAGCAGGCGGCACAGAAGTGAAGCGTTTACATCAGACACAAACGCATGAGGTCACTGTTCCAGGGTGGAGGCCTGGAGGAAGCCCGGCCATCTTCTCTCGGTAACCTTGATCAAAGGCTTCGCTCTGGGCCACTGCCAAGTGATTTTTCCAGTCCCCTGTGGTTCCTGTCAAATACACAGCGTAAGTCCAGCTCAGACTTACACATGAGGTCTCAAGACTTCACGCGAACTTCTCTGTGTGCCTCTGCTGCGAATCTATCATGCACAGTCGATGAAAAATGCACCCAATAGAGCCAAGTGGTTAAATCTTTCCTGCCTGGATTCAGGTGCCGTTGGCTTCCATTCCATCCCAGACTACTAGTTGCATATTACAGCTGACTCTCCAGTTTAATAAGACTGTTCCCAGGACCTGCCTCAGGTGACGTTTTGAGGACTGATGATAGCAAAGGCAACGACACCAATAATACCTAACACACAGTAAGTAACTCCTTCTACACCAGGCACTGTGCTAGGATATCACATGTCTGCCTCGTTTGACACGCAAGATGTCCATTTAGGACCATGGCGGTTCTTTTCTCCTATGCACTCTCACCCCAGGTCATAGAGGTAGAGCTGGTGTTCTTACTCTTGACGGCTACTCCAAAATCCATCCTGAACTCTCCACCTTCGAATGGCATAGCATCCAGCTACGCGACCCAAAATGATCAACGTGCAGTGTCCTAAGGTTATTTCTTTGGGAATCCAAAAAAAAAAGAAAGGGACCAGGAAAACACTGAGTGTGAGCTAGAATAGCCTTTCCTCCTTTAACCCAGCGCATAGTCCAGCGTCATCTCGCTGACGTCTCCCCAGCCGCCCTCTGGTAAACTGCAGGTTGACAATGAAACCTTCCCAGTCTATGCAGCGAACACCTTCATTCCTCGTGTGTAGCGGACACACTTGGTTTTTATTATAGGGGTCTCTGCTGAAGGTTCGGTCTGGAGCTAAGTCACACGCGTTTCCTCTATTTCTCTGTCCACAGTGGTCCTCTTCGATGGATTCTGATGTATAAAATAAGTGTGTGGGAGGCAACCACTCAGTGTATCTCTCTCACATCAATGCTCCTCTCTCTTTTTCTCCCCCCCTTCTACTTTCTCTAAAAAAATCAGTGGAAAAAATATCCTCAGGAGATTAACCAAAAAAAAAAAAAAAAAGATTTTATTGAATGCTGCTCAGTAAAGACGATGAGGAACGAACGCGACAATTATGTGGATGGACACGGGCCTCACTGTGAACTAACACAGCGATTGTAAGACACACCAGAAAAAGAGTGAAGATTCCCAGTCAGGGCACATGCCCAGGGTGGCAGCCTCGATCCCCAGTAGGGGGCGTGCAGGAGGCAGCCTGCGGATGCTTCACCCACTGATGTTTCTCTCTCCCTCTCCCTTCCTCTCTCTCTAAAATCAATAACAACATATATATTTTTAAAAGGACAGAGAAAATACTGGGTGAGTGTGAGTTAGATAGAGGAGCTGTGGGGCAGCACCCGATTGGTTCGTTTGCAGACGGAAGGCATATTCTCAGGCGAGGTGCCTACTAATCTCTGGGAATTACTTCGGCCTGGAGGGAGCAGTCTCTCTCCTGCTAGCTAGGTCCCCCAAGATGACAAGATATAAAGTAAAATACAGAAAATAAAAACGAGAGCAACTTGAGAGACTGGGCACAAAAGGTCAGAGAGCGTAGGTAGGATTTAATCTATATTCAACCTCCAGGATAGGTAAATCCATAGAAACCGAAAGCTGGTATCGATTTGCTTAGAACGGGGGACGGGGGAATTGGAGAGGGCTAGCTAAAGATGATGAGATTTCTTTCTTTTTAGAGAGAGAGGGAGAGAGAGAGAAACATTGACTGGTTGACTCCTGTATGCACCCCGACTGGGGATCGAACTCGCAACCTGTGTATGTGCCCTGACTGGGGATCGAACCCGAGACCCTTGGGTGCACTGGACGACGCTCCAACAGACTGAGCCACACCGGCAAGGCCATGAGGGCGTTTTTGTGTGTTTTTTAAAAATATATCTTAATTGATTTCAGAGAGAGGAAAGGAGATGGAGAGAGCGCGAAACATCAATGATGAGAGTCACTGATCGGCGGCCGCCTGCACGCCCCCTGCTGGGGATCCAGGAGCCCGCACCGGCCTGTGNCGCGAAACATCAATGATGAGAGTCACTGATCGGCTGCCGCCTGCACGCCCCCTGCTGGGGATCCAGGAGCCCGCACCGGCCTGTGCCCCGGCCGGGAATCGAACCCCGACCGCCCGGACCCTAGGTCGACGCTCCCGTATCCCGAGTGTGCCGCTCACGTAGGCAAACCACGGAAGCCGGGGCTCAACAGTTAAGGCGACACGCGGTCGCGAGGACGCGCGCACACGCACAATCACGCCCCCGCGGCCCCGCCTCTCCCCGACTCACGACCACCCGCAGCCGCCGCCTCACTCGGCAAAGCCTAACGCGTCGCCAAGGCAACGGGCCGCAGGGCCTCCTGGGAAATGGAGTCTCGGCGGCGCGGCTAAGGCACCACGCAAAGGATTCTGGGGCTCGGCGCGGCATTAAGGCGAAGGTGAGGGTCCGCTCGCGGCNGGACCGAGGCGAGCGTGAGGCTGGGTGTCTGCGCTCCCGCAGCTGCGTGGGGGCGTGAGCGTGGGCCCGAGGCTGTTTTCTGTACCACGGGCTGTGCGTCTGTGGCTGCCCCGCGGTCCTGCGTGTCATGTCGTGGGCTGCGTGTGAGGTGAAGGTCGGCGACCGTGAAACGTGTGATGGCGTGGGTGTGCTGTGTGAGTGTGACTGAGTGTGACCGAGCCGGCCGGGTGGCGGGGGCGTGTCCCAGGACCGCGCCTTTCGCTGTCGTCTGTGCTGTTTACACGAGAGAGAAGGGACCGAGCCTGTGGGGGCTGGGAGTGGGCCTGCGAGGGCGGGGATGTGTGGTTGGAGCGCGCGCGCGTGAGTGTGTGTGTGAGTGCGTGTGAGTGTGTGTGTGTGAGTGTGTGTTGCACGTGTGCGCATGTGTGTGAGTGTGTGTGCATGTGTGAGTGTGCATGTGTGAGTGCGTGCGCGTGTGTTGAGTGTGTTGCACGTGTGTGTGTGCGCGTGTGTGAGTGTGCGCGTGTGTGAGTGTGTGTGTGTGCATGTGTGTGAGTGTGCGCGTGTGTGTGTGTGCGCGTGAGTATAAAAGTATGCCGGTATCTGTCCCTGGGCCCTGGCACAGGGCTCCTCAAACCCTTGTAAACTCCTAAGTGACAGGAGCGCCTCCGGATCTAACGTGGGGATNAGGACGCGCGCACACGCACAATCACGCCCCCGCGGCCCCGCCTCTCCCCGACTCACGACCACCCGCAGCCGCCGCCTCACTCGGCAAAGCCTAACGCGTCGCCAAGGCAACGGGCCGCAGGGCCTCCTGGGAAATGGAGTCTCGGCGGCGCGGCTAAGGCACCACGCAAAGGATTCTGGGGCTCGGCGCGGCATTAAGGCGAAGGTGAGGGTCCGCTCGCGGCCCGGGGGGCATCCCTCCGCCCCTCTCCCGGGAAGGACAGACGGCAGCCCGCGCCCCCGGCTCGCTTCTCGCCCGCACTGCGGCCGCCCAGAGCCGCGCTGCGCCCCGAGGGCTTCGGGAGTGAGTGCGGAGGCGCCCCGCTGTTCCCCCGGGGCCCAGGGGAGGGCGCTCGGAAGCGCCCGGACAGGAACACGCAGGCGCGGGAGCTGAGAAGGGCGGCGAGCCGCGGACGCTGGTGCGTACTACGTGGGCTGGCGCAGCAGCGGCGACGCTCCCCCGGACCGCTCCGGCAGCGTGCGTGAGGGGCGGGGCCTCAGGCGGGAACCTGCGTGTGGGAAGCTCTACGGCAGCTGGGGGCGGAAGCGCTCGAGACACGCGGCTTTGTTTAGGGGCGNGATGTGTGGTTGGAGCGCGCGCGCGTGAGTGTGTGTGTGAGTGCGTGTGAGTGTGTGTGTGTGAGTGTGTGTTGCACGTGTGCGCATGTGTGTGAGTGTGTGTGCATGTGTGAGTGTGCATGTGTGAGTGCGTGCGNTGCGTGCGCGTGTGTGAGTGTGTTGCACGTGTGCGCGTGTGTGAGTGTGTGTGTGTGCATGTGTGTGAGTGTGCGCGTGTGTGAGTGTGTGCGTGAGTATAAAAGTATGCCGGTATCTGTNTGTGTGTGTGTGCGCGTGAGTATAAAAGTATGCCGGTATCTGTCCCTGGGCCCTGGCACAGGGCTCCTCAAACCCTTGTAAACTCCTAAGTGACAGGAGCGCCTCCGGATCTAACGTGGGGATTCTGGGTGGGCTCCTGGATGGGGCTGCTCCCCAGGGAGACGCAGCCCTGAATAGAAGCTTGGAATTCCCAGCGCCCCTGCCTACCACCTCATGGAGCTGTCCCGGCCCCCGCCCTGCACTGGGTGCCACGTCGTCACGTGGGAAACTGTGGTGACCTCACCTCCTGTCCTCTCCAGACACCGCGCACTGACCTTTGGTGCTGCTGGTGTTTGACTCCCCGCACGTGTGCGCATCCGCGTGAACACCTGTGTGTCCAGGGCGAGGGGCCCTGGGGCTCTCTCCGAAGGCCAGCCACCCTCCTGACTCCTCTTCTCCCGCAGCCCCACCTGCCCAGCACGCTGCGCCTCCCGGGCAAGGACTCAGTGGGGAGGAAGGGATGCCAGCCCCCCGAGGGAAGTCCACGTCCAAGGTAAATGGCCATTCGTCTTCCTTCCGAACGTTTTGTCTCATGGGACGCAGAACATGTGCTTTCCCTGCAGGACACTTCCCTCCCGGTGGAGACCAGCCAAGACCTGGTCCCCAGACCCCTCCCATCACCACAGAGTGGCCGCCAGAGAAGGGCCCCCTCTCCTTTTTTCCCATTGTGCACATGATCGCTCCCCTGTTCGTGGTGCGATTGGAGGGTCNGGAGAAGGGCCCCCTCTCCTTTTTCCCCATTGTGCACATGATCGCTCCTCTGTTCGTGGTGCGATTGGAGGGTCCCTGGCGGCTGTGGGAGAAACACCTTCCCCAGAGGGACGATGACAGCCGCGGATTCCTTAAGATGGAGACTTGGGCCCCGGTGGGACCCTGCGAGGCTGAGGGGGATTCCAAGTTGCTCTCCAGAGCTACCTAATGTCGCTTCGTCTGCTTGCCAACCCATTTGCACAGAGGACATCGCCCTGGCTTTAAGAGACTCTCGTAACTGTTCAGGCCGAGTGCCCAGGAGCCAGGCCCATGAGGCGGGATGAGCTGGCGTCACCGCTCTAGCTGATGAAGAGATTTTCTTTAATCCTCACTTGAGGATATGCTTCTACTGGTTTTAGAGAGAGGAAGAGGGGTTGCGGGGAGAGAGACATGGATGTGAGAGAGAAACATCCACCGGTTGCCTCTTGTTCGCACCCTGACCGGGGATCAGACCCTCCCCCGTTTCTGTGTATGGGATGGTGCTCCAAGCCCCCCCTGCCATCCAGCCAGGGCAAGTTATTTATTACAGTGCACATCTTGGAGGCAGTTTCTCTTGGCAAAGAGCTTCACCCTCTCAGTTACTTGTATTTGTNGCCACCCGGCCAGGGCAAGTTATTTATTACAGTGCGCATCTTGGAGGCAGTTTCTCTTGGCAAAGAGCTTCACCCTCTCAGTTACTTGTATTTGTTCCCTGTTGCTGCTACAACATTACCACCTACTTGGTATTTATTACCGCCCGGTTCCTGGGTTGGAGATCAGGCACAGCGTGGCTTAGCCGGGGCCTCTGCTTTGGGTCTCAGAGCGCTGAAATCCAGGTGTCGGCTGGCTGTGCTCTCACTTTCTCCTGGTCCTTCTCCCACTTTCCACGGGGCCCCTTCTCCCATCTTCAAACCAGCGGCAGCAGGTCCGGTCCAGCTCGTGCCTCATATCTCCACGACTTCCCTTTCTCTCCTTGTCTGCGACCAGCAGGAGGTTTGCTCTTAGGGCCCCTTGTATCTCCCATGTTTGGGACAAGTCCACTGTCTGCTCTGGGTGTGTGGGAACGTGAGCCTACCGTGACAGGACGTGGGGTTTTCCATTTCAGGCACCAGTGACGTTTGGGGACTTGGCCATCTACTTCTCCCGGGAAGAGTGGGAAAGGCTGAGCCCGGTGCAGAGGGATCTGTACGAAGACGTCATGTTGGAAAACTACCAGAACCTGGTCTCTCTTGGTGAGCCCCCTCCCCCTGCCTCCCCCATATCCACCACTGGCCCTTTGAAGGATGGCAGCCTGTCAGTCTGTTAGGAAAACAGAAGCCACGCCAGTTTAGGTTTGCTTTCTTTTTAACAGCTATATTGAGGTGTAATTCACACACTGTACAACTCACCCATAGGAAGTGTACAACTCAGTGGTTTCTATTGTATGACAGAGCTGTGGGTCCCTCAGCACAGTCAATTTAGAACATTTTTACCACCCCCAGAAGAAACCCGAACCCAGTAGCACTGCCTCTCCATTTCCCATGCCCACTAATCCCCCCACTAGGCAAACACTAGTCCACTCTGTCTCTATGGATTTGCCTATTCCTGGCCTTTCATAGAAGTGGATCATACCATTTGTGGTCCTTTGCTTTTGCTGAGCATCATGTTTTCAAGGTTCATCCACACCGTGGTGGGTGTCAGGACCTGGTTCCTCTTGATGGCCCAAAAACATTACATTGTAGAGACCACATTTGTTTATCCATCAGTTGATGGGTATTTGGGCTGTTTCTGCCTCGCAACTTTCATGAATAGGCTGCTATGAACATTTTGTGTGAGTTTTCATGAGGATGCATGTTCTCATTTCCCGTGGGTGTGTACCTAGGAGTGGGATTGCTGGTCAGATAGTAGCTGTATACGTAACGCCCTGAGACACCTCACTTTTGTTAAGGGAGGGAGCTTAATATCAGGGGCTGACTTAACAGGTACTGTTAAAAGGTGAATAGAGGACACGGGGATAGCACAGAGATGGTAACTGCAGGATGCAGCCACCCTCCCAGGGCAAGGGGAAAGTTTGGAGCTTTCAGAACTTAGATGGACACAGACTAATGCAGAAAGGGAAAGACGCACTGCCTGGATTTACACTCCTGAACAGGCAAGATGAGGCTAGCTCTGGGAGTGGGTGGGGAGAAAGAAAAGCAGAAATTGAAACCACCAGAGCCCCTATGGGTGGACCCTCTCGGGGAGCAGTAGTGAAAGAGGGGTGTGGGTTGCCGAGCCCCTACACCAAAAACAAATCAGAGAAGGGTGGGGTTGGGAGCTGAAAGGCAGCAGCTTAATGGCCAGCCTTGAGTTTCTGCTCCAACTTTTCAGGAAAACAGTTGGCTCTGTGGAGTTAGAAAGGAAAACCTCTGCCGGCTGAACCTGACTTTTCTCCCCCTCATTCTCCAGCTGCCCTTCACCTCCTCCGTGCTCCCTGTGTGCCAACAAATCCTATTATTGGCACAGGGCTGGGTTCACTGTCGTGGTTTCCACATCATGCTCAATTCCAGTGTTTTCCCATGGGCAGGACTTACCTGTCGGAGGCCTAATGTGATCACCTTATTGGAGAAACGGAAAGCACCCTGGATGGTGGGACCCGTGGGAAGACGCCGGGGCCTGGGTGAGTAACCGAGAACCCAGGCTTGGAAGTTGGCGGTCTATGTAAGAGCGCACTCCACTGCGAGAGGGCCACCCCTGTGAGATAATACTCAAGAGCCACTTTCCCCACCTCAGAGGCCACTCCTGTGCAGAAAATTCAAGTCTCTTCAGTATGAGCCCCTGAAGGGGAATACTAACATCTTATAAGCCCTTCCTGGGCATCAGACACTCTTCTAAATACAGGTTGTTTCCAGCTGTTGCTGGATGAAGTAATCTTGAGATGTCAGTTACATGCTGTTGAATGATGGTATGGTTGAGTTCTCCTGTGTCCTTACTGATCTTCCGCCTGCTGGATCTGCCTGTTTACAAGAGGGGATGGATATTGAAGTTTCCAGCTGTAATAGTGGATCCATCTAGTTATCCTGGCAGGTCTGTCAGTTTTTGTCTCAATTAGGTTGATGCTGGGTTGTTAGGCACACATACAGTATGAATTGTTATGTCTTCCTGAAGAATTGACCCCTTTACCATTATGTATGCCTCTCTTTACCTGTGATAGCAAGCGTTCCGTGTTTTTAAGTTTGCTGTGTCCGAAATTAATGTAGCTACTACTGCTTGCTTTTGGTTGGGGTCCACATGGCGTATTCTTCTCATCCATGGGTCTTTATTGCTAAAGGGGTTTCTTATAGACAGCACACAGTTGTTTTGTGTTTTTTGATCCACATGACAATCTCTTGTAATTGGAGGCCATTTACATTCACAGTGGTGACTGACATAGCTGATACATAGCGTCGGACATCAACATAGAGGAACCGTGTCTGTTATTGTTCTCTATTTGTTGTCTTTATTCTTTGCTCCTGTCTTTGCCTCCCACTCCTTCTCTGCCTTTTGTGGTTTTATATATTTATTCTATTCTTCTTTAATTTTTTTCATTTCACATGATTCTGCTTTGTCTTTCTTAGCATGTCAGTTATACTTTGTTTTTAACTTTTTTAGTGAATGCCCTGGAGTTTACAGGATACATTTACAGCTGATCCAAGTCCACTTTCAGGTAACACTGCCCCACTTCATGGGTGTCGTGAGTGCCTTATTACAACAAAATAAGGCTATGCCTTCCTCTCGCTCCCTGTATCATTGCTGTCATTCACTTCATTTAAGATAAACACATAGGCACACATAATCAAATATGTTGCTGTATTATTATTTTGAACAANCACACATAATCAAATACGTTGCTGTATTATTATTTTGAACAAATTGTTATCTGTTAGGTCAATTAAAAATAAGAGAAGCCCTGGCCAGGTGGCTCAGTTGGTGGATTGTCATACTGTGACCAAAGGCTGAGGGTTTGATTCCCGGTCAGGATGCGTGAGGGAAGTAACAGATCGATGTTCCTCTTCCCCATCAGTGTCTCTCTCTCTCCTCCCCCTTCCTCTCTCTCTCTAAAAATCAATAAAAGCATATCCTGGGGTGAGGATGAATAAAAATAAATAAGAAGAGGGTTTCTTGCCCTCACTTATTCCTTTCTCAGCATCCTTCCTTTCTCTGTGTAGAGCCTAGTTTCTGATCTATGTTATTTTCCTTCTCTCTCTAAAAGGACCTCTTTTTAACATTTCTTGCAGGTCTACTGGTAAATTCAACATTTGTTTGTCTGAGAAAGCCTTTATTTCTCTTTCACTCTTAAAGGACATCTTCATAGAGTACAGAATTTGAGGTTAGTGGTTTCAAGAGAGTTCCCAGTGGCTCTTGCAAAAATGAGTATTTAGTTAAAAGCCCACCCTGCCTTAAATTTAATCAGCCTAATGAAATTCAAATTTCACAGTATTATTTTTTCTTAACATTAATTCTGGGAAAATATCAAAAGGGTTCAAGCAGTTTTAAATTTCTCTTCTAATCCTTTTCAGTTTTTACCACTCTTAGCATTTCAAAGAGCTACTTTAGTCATTTAAAATAACTATTAATTTTTATATTCATAAGGAACATGTAATGATAAAAATCAAAATGAAGGAGAATGTTACTACAATCCTTTCTACCAGGAAAAGGATACTTTATATTTAGATATACAACTTCCAGGTATTTTCAACTTATAAAATGAAATCATTCTTGTGGTAAAGTTTGATGAACTCATTTTTCACTTATATTCTAGGAAATTTCCTTGTCACTTCAACTTAGTTTCTTACATGACACTTTTTAAATAAAAATAAGAAAACAAATATTTAATTTGTTGATGTCTTTCAGACTCAGGTTCTAAATGTGAGACCAAGAAGTTACATCCAAATAATTGCAACAAATCTTGCCAAAGCATCTATCAGAAACCAGTTTCTGCAACACAAAAAGGTCCCACAAGAAAGAGAGGCTGCAAGAAAAATTTGGCCCTTAGAGAAACCAAGAAAGTGCATCCAGGGGAGAAATGTTTAAAATGTAATGAATGTGGGAAAATCTTTAGTCAAAGCTTATCTTCTAAACTTCATCAGAATTCTCATACTGAAGGGAAGCCTTATGAATGTAGTAATTGTAGAAGGGCCTTCAGACAGGTTTCGTTCCTCATCCTTCATCAGAGAATTCACAATGGAGGGAAAAGCCATGAATGTGATCAATGTGGGGAAAGTTCTATGCAAAGAACAGCCCTTATTCTACATGAGAAAATTCATGGTGGAAAGGAAATCTTTGACTATGGGAAGGCCTTGAGTCAGTGCCCATCCCTTAGGGTAGATGAGAAAATTCATCTTGTTGAGAATGCCCACCAGTGCAGAAAATGTGGGAAAGCCTTCATTCGAAGGTCATCCCTTTTACTTCATAAGAAAATCCACAATGGAAAGAAAACACATGAATGCAATAAATGTGGGAGAGGCTTTAGTAAGAAATCAGCCCTTGTTGTACATAAAAGGATTCATATAGGAGAGAAAACCCATGAGGGTGAGAAGGCCTCAAGGCAACAGAGCAGTCACCATTTAGAGAATCCTTATAAATGTAGGAAATGTGGAAAGTCCTTTAATAGGATTTCATCCATCATGCTTCATCAGAGAATTCATGCTTCAGAAAAACTGTACAAATGTGATAAATGTGAGATGGTCTTTAGGCAGTTTTCAACCTTTATTCTACATGTAAAAACTCATAATGGAGAGAAACTGTACAGATGCAATAAATGTGAGAAGGTCTGTAATCGGCATTCATCCCTTATTCAACATCAGAAGGTTCATAAAAGGAAAAAGAAACTGTTTGAATGTAAGGAATGTGGGAAAATGTTTTCTGAAACTGCCAACCTTAAAATACATCAGAACATTCATTCTGAAGAGAAACCTTTCAAGTGTAATAAATGTAGCAAAGTTTTCGGCCGCCAGTCATTTCTTATTGAACATCAGAGAATTCATACTGGAGAAAAACCATATCAGTGTGAGGAATGTGGGAAAGCCTTCAGTCATCGAATATCTCTTACTCGACATAAGAGAATCCATACTGAAGACAGGCCATATGAGTGCGATCAGTGTGGAAAGGCCTTCAGTCAGAGCGCACACCTTGCCCAACATGAAAGGATTCACACTGGAGAGAAACCGTACACGTGCAAAACATGTGGGAAGGCATTCAGTCAACGTACGTCCCTTATTCTACATGTAAGAAGTCATACAGGAGAGAAGCCCTATGAATGTAATGAGTGTGGGAAGGCCTTTAGCAGTGGCTCGGACCTTATCCGGCATCAAAGAAGTCATTCCTCAGAGAAACCCTATGAATGTAGTGAATGTGGGAAGGCATATAGTAGGAGCTCATCCCTGATTCGACATCAGAATACACATTCAGAAGGAAAAACCTAAGGTTGCTACAAAAGCAAAGACTGAGGCTCAAAGTAGCAGATAAAATACATTTGTCTCTAACATAAATTGTGTAAAAAGGGGACCATTTGATGGTGTATCCCACTTCGAAAGCCAATGGGCAAAAGCCCTTGGTGACTTTGACCTGAGAATTTGAAATTAACTGAAGCAGTGATCTTACAGGTCTTAATGAAGCTGTGATGATTGGATCATTTTTCATTCTCTATTTGATGAGAATCACTGATATTTTATTTCCAATGTAGTTTTACAGCTATTTCAAAGTGGGATTGTAGTTATTTCAGTGGTCACATACAATGAAGTGGAATTGTCAGTTTTTTGGGGTGGGGCTTTGAGCCTGATTTAATGTCATGTGAAGAAAGGGTTTGTCCCTTAGAATGAGCACTATCACATAAGGCACTTCTTGGAAAACCAGGGTGCCACTTCCAGCTGACTGAAATTTGTTGGTGATAAAAAGAGTGAATCTTTAAATAGATAAAGATGACATTGACAGTAGTGGGACAGAGACATTTCCATACTATCTCCAAAGATATGAAGATGCATGACCTTTGTGATGTGAAGTTTAACAAGCCTGACAAGCTAACAGGAAAACAAACCAGGATATACTAAAGAACAAGGAACATCGGAGCAGGGAGAGATTATTTTATTTGAGGATAAACTTGTTTCTATTTATATGAATAAACATCGGTATTTTCATGGAAGAACACTGGTGTGCAGTAAGTAATTGGTAGAGAATGTGTCTCTCCCAGAATCCATGTGTTGAGGCCCTACCCTCCAGGGTAATGGTATTTGGAAATGGGTTAGGTCACTCTAACAAACCACAACTCAGAGAGAAAACCACATTTGTGAAGGGTGATCATGCATGCAGTATAATAGAACAGCTAATTATTTTTATTTAAACTTGCCACATTAGTTCTGTAAAATCAGCATACAAAAGCTCAAAGATTGATTTTTATCATCTTTATTATTTCCATTCTTCTTATGCTAACTCTGGTGTTCATTGCTCTTCATTTTCTAATTTAAGGTGGAAATTGAAGGCACTGATTTGAGAGCTTTCCTTTATAACTTAGGCAGTTAGTGTTGTTATACTTCCTTTTAAGTACAGTGTTCTTTCATTCAATTCAAATACTATTTTCCCTTTTTGGTTTCTCTTTTGACCCATGGGTTACAAAAAATTGGGCTATTTAGGTTGAAATACTTGGGAATTTTCCAGTTATCTTTCTGTTACTGATTTCTCATTTAGTCTATCCTGATCACAAAAACATTTTGTATGACTTAAACCCTCTTAAATTTATTGAGATGTTTTTAAGGCCTGGAACATGGTCTATCTCTTAAATTTATTGAGATGTTTTTAAGGCCTGGAACATGGTCTATCTCAGTAAGTGTGCTGGGTGTGTTTGAAAAGAATGTATAGTCTGTTCTTGGGTGGAATAGTTATAAAATGTCAATTAGGTCAAGTTCACTGATAGTGTTAAGTCTTCAACATCCTTACTGATTTTCTACTTGTTCTGAGAGATGCATGTCAAAATCTCTTAAAATTGTGGATTAGTCTATTTCTCCTTATAGTTCTATCAGTCCTTTTCTTGACTTCAGGTAATTTCCATACATGCATGTCCTGTTGTTTTCAGATAAAAACTAGAGTTTTTACTCAGGTAAAATTTCTGCGGATGTCTGTGGTGTTTTTCCTCTGGGAGCCCTCAGGTAGTTTATCCTGTAAACTAACCACCTCGTCTCCCAGCTCCATCTCCTGTACTCAGAGAGCACGGTCTGAAAACTCCACATGCTGCTCCCTGGGGATGTCATTGTTTGGCACTCTGTTAATTCGATTCCCATTCCCCAGGGATCTCTTTTAATTCAGTCTCTTGAACACCAGGGTTTTATATATTTTATCCAGTTTTTTAGCATTTCAGGTGGGAGTGTAAACTACTCCTTCAATTCCATCTTCACCAGAAGTGCAGATCTCAAGCACTTAGTGAGGGCAGGGATCACTGTGGGTCTAGAACTTTGTTTACACTCTTGTATCTGTGCTTCATAAGGCCTTACCAGTACTTCTGGAGGATAAACTGCTGGATGAAAGCACAGACATTTCAGTAGGTCCTGCCAACTTGTCTGTGCTGTTCAAGTTAGAACCCATCTAGAATGAAGGCTTCTTAAGAGGAATTTTAAGCACCTTCATCCACTGTTGTGTCTTGCCCACCAAGTTGGGCTGTATTAGTCAAGTTTTCCTGTTTCTTCTGCCTACTTTTTCTCCATTATGCTGCTCTCACCAGGGGACAGCGAGTGCGAAAGACCCTGGCATGTTCTTTTAGTGTGACCCTAACAGCTGTGTCTATGTTCCACCTTTCATAGTGTGTGATATGAAGTGGTATCACTTTCCTATTTCAGTGATGCTGGCATATTTAATTTTGGGGTTTATTTTTAATAGAAGTTGGTAAGACTGACTCTACCCGTATTTCATAGGGTCTCTGCAAAGCTAGAACTTTGATTCTTGAATGAGTAGAGTTCCTGGTCTAGCTATTCTTCTGACTCTCTTCTGCTCGTTTGGTACCTTTTACATTGAGAGATACACTTGTGTGTTGTTAACTGCAAAAGGAAACCTTGGTTTGGCTAGTGAAAATTCTGATCTTGACAAGTTGCCTTTCACAAAGGAGGTACAATTCATTCTTCCTCACTCAGCACAGAGAAGCATCTTTTTTTCATATGCTTTTGCAGCACATAGTCCATTGGTTTAACTTGTATTTCTTCTGATCCTACTGAGATTCAGTACTTACCACATATTCATCAGTTGCCTCTTCACAGCCTTTGCCCATGGGTGGTGGGGGGGGGTGTATGTGTCATTTGCTAAGTGAGTGTAGGAGCACTTCTATGTTAAGGATATGCACTTCATGGGTTAATGATTTCCTCTAATTCTGATGCTTAAACCTTTTGTTTATACTACCTTTGACTATATAGATACTTAATAAAATTCTTACGCAATTAAACCTAGAATCTTTGTGTGGCTTGTACACCAAATCGGACATGTTTGTGGGCAGCCAATTTATGAGTGTTGATCTAGTTTTGGAATCACATCTTAGACACTCAACAACTTTTCCATTTTAAACAGCAAAGATGTAATATAGCCACCTAGANTTTCCTTTCTCCTCTAGTTTTGGAATCACATCTTAGACACTCAACAACTTTTCCATTTTAAACAGCAAAGATGTAATATAGCCACCTAGAATTAGGAGCAGGGGTCACACTTACACTTTGCTTTTTAGTCTTCTTTGATTATTGATCTTTTAAATTTTTCTTTTTTTAAATACCTGTTTTACCTCTGTTTATTTTTATTTATTTAGTTTAAATATATCTTTATTGACTTCAGAGAGAGGAAGGGATAGAAACATCAATGAGTCAGACTGGCTGCCTCCTGCATGCCCCCAACTGGGGACCGAGCCAGCAACCCGGCATGTGCCCCGACCAGGAATCGAACCCCAATCACCTGGATCCTAGGTCGACGCTCAACCGCTGAGCCATGCCCAGCTGGGCTCCCTCTGTTTAAATATAAATGAAGAATACATCTCAGTAAATTCTACTTATCACAAGTTGATTTTTAAAATCTGGGTTCTTAGAACTGTTGAATGTGTACTGAAAGTAGTTTTTCTTACCAACAAAGTCATATCTCTAATCCCTATTTTCATGTACTCGAATGTCAATCCTACTGCATCAGATACCCTGGTCATCCTCCTGTAGAACACTGACCACTGTTCGTAATCAAAAATCTTTACTTCTACTCTTGAGCTGCTTCTTTTATTATTTCTCAACTGATCACTGTTGAGATGATGTTTTCTTTGGATACCACAGTACCTTATTTTACACTAAAGTTTACTGAGTGACTACTTTATGCTAGGCACTCTACTGAGCCACTTACATGCATTATCTTATTTAATGCTCCCATTAACTTTCGAGGTAGTACCATTATTAGTCCCCAAATAAAACAGAAGCTTGTGAAAGACAAAATGTTTCTCTAAAATTAGAGGGCTAAAAAATGGAAGAGCAAGGATTAGAACCAAAATCTATTTTATGCTGGCATAAGGTTCTGGGTAAATCTCCAAAGAATGAGATGGATATTGGCATGAGATGGTGCTTTGTAAGGTAGACTGGAACAGGGTATTGTGGGGAAAGTCTCTCAGGCTATTTTGAGGAATATGTGCTTTAATGTAAGAACTACTAGATGCCACTGAGGGGCTTCAATGAGAGGAGAGAGATGATCAAACTGTTTTTAATACAAGTTTGTCTGCAGTGTGACAACTGGCAAAGTAGGTGGTAAACACAGGAAATCAGAAAGCTATTTCCACAGTCCGTGTTAAGTGATTATTGTGTACTAGACAAATAAGATGGAGTCAAAATGATTTAAAGGAGTGAGATTCAAGGCCTACTTAGGAGATAAAACCTACAGGTCTTGGCAACTGACTGGACACAGAGGGTGAGGAAGCGGAGAAACTTAAGAATGACTCCACAGTATGAATTCTCTCATGATGAGCCAAGTGTGCCCGCTGCCTGAAGGACTTCCTGCAGTCCTTACATTCATAGGGCCTTTCTCCAGTGTGAATTCTTTGATGCAGAGTAAGAGAGCCACTATAGCTAAAGGCTTTCCCACACACATTACATTCGTAAGGTTTCTCTCCAGTATGAATTCGCTGATGCTGAGCAAGGCCTGCATTCTGGCTGAATGTTTTCCTGCATTCCTTACACATGTAAGGTTTCTCTCCAGTATGACTTCGCTGGTGTTGTGCCAGTGATGAACTGTTGCTGAAGGCCTTCCCACACTCAATGCATTCATAGGGTTTCTCTCCAGTATGGACCCTCTGATGCTGATCAAGGTATGCAATCTGGCTGAAGGCTTTCCTACACACTTTACATTCATAAGGTTTCTCTCCAGTATGAACTCTCTGATGCTGAGAAAGGTGTGCATATTGGCTAAAGGCTTTCCTACATTCCTTACATTCGTAAGGTCTCTCTCCGGTATGAATCCTCTGATGCACAATTAGGTAACCACGATGGCTAAAGGCTTTCCCACACACATTACATACATAAGGTTTCTCTCCTGTATGAATTCTCTGATGCTGAGCAAGAAATGAACCATTACTAAAGGCCTTTCCACATTCAATACATTCGAACGGTCTCTCTCCAGTATGAACCCTCTGATGTTGGGTCAGGTGTGCAATCTGGCTGAAGGCTTTTTTACACTCATTACACTGATAAGGTTTCTCTCCAGTATGAACCCTCTGGTGTTGAGCAAGGTGTGCATTCTGGCTGAAAGCTTTCCTACATTCTTTACATTCGTAGGGTTTCTCCCCAGTGTGTATTCTCTTATGTTGGGCTAGGTTTGCACTCTGGCTAAAGGTTTTCCCACATTCAACACAGGCATAAGGTTTCTCCCCAGTATGAATTCTCTGGTGAAGAGTAAGGGATGAACTCTGGTTGAAGACCTTCTCACACTCATTACACTTCAAAAGTTTCTTTTCTACATAGACTTTCTTATGCTTCATTTCAACAGATTTTTTTCGGTAACTTCTCTTTTGTGGCTCATGCTTATGCACTCTTTCTTTGGTGGGAAAACTCTGTTTTATAGCAAATATTGCACCCTGGTGGAAAGTTTGCCAAGATTTAGTATATTCATTACTTTGATCTTCAGTGAGGATTTCCTTATGAGTGATGATCAGTTGACTAGGATGTATCTCCTTACTTCCCAACTTGTTCTTAAACCAGTCCCCACTTTTACAGTCTTCTACCAAACTGGGGTAATCAAGGCTGTAACTAAGATGGCTTCTTCCCATTGTCACTACTTTGAATGATTCTTCATAAATAACTTGCTTTGATGAAAATTCACTGTTTTTAAATGCATACTCCCAATCTAAAAGATAGTAAGAAAAAAAAGTCTTTTGTGTTTATGCAGAAGAGAAAAACTTTAAAAACAAAAATCAGTGAATAAAATGTAAGTTTGAGTGTTTAACAGCTGTTAAGTACAGTCTAAAAAGTGTATTACAAAGAACAAGAACTTATGAAAGTTAAGGACATAAATTAATCATATATAACTAGTAAGGTAACTATCAGAAAAATTAAAAATTGAAGAGGTTATTTAACATCACATTTATTTTGTTTGTGCGTGTGTGTGTGTAATGTAGCACCATCTCTAAACACCATTCTTATGCCTCAGTTTATCCTGCATTTAAGAGATGTTCATTATCTTTAGGAAAACCAATTTTACAATGTCAGGGTAGCTAAAAAACCTCCATAAGATCCCCAGACCCAAAGATACATCAGGTGTGTCTTAGGCTGTACATAAAACTATGGTAAAACTTTTGCAGTCTGAAAAAATTCTTACTGAATATCATTTTCTATGATTTATATTCCAACCAAATGTAAATTTTCAGTTGATTCCTGAAGCTGAGATGCTTCATATAGAAGTAATTTTGTATCAAATTGCTTGACTTTATTAACTTGCACTAGGCCTTAATTTGCCTTCCCATTTCCATTCCCAAATCAAATCACCTATTCTTCTGCTCAAGATTTTCCAATGGTTTCTCACCACTTTTATAATAAAATCAAAATTCCTATCATGGTTCACAAAACCAATGTAGCACATGAACATAAATGTAAAACCTTTAATAACATTACAGCAAATGCAATCCAGGAAAATATGAAAGCATAATCATGACCAAGTATAGTTTATCTGAGGAATGCAAGGTTGGTTTACTCTGTGAAAATCAATCAATGATCACTATACATCAACAGATTAAAGATGAAAAATCATATGATCATTTCAACAGATGTAGAAAGATTATTTTACTAAATTTATTTATAAAAATTCTCAGCAAACCAGGAACAGAAAGGAACTTCCTAAAACTCAGAATGAGCATCTAAGCAAACTAACCAACATTAACTTAATGGTGAAAGACTGAAGACATTTCCCCTTCAGACTGAGAACAATGCAAGTATATCTGCTCTTACCAGTTCTATTCAACACTGTACAGGAGGCCCTAGCTATTGTAGTAAATCAAGAAAAACAAGGCATAAGGATCAGAAAGGAAGAAATAAAACTGTATTGGCAGATAACATGATTGTCTATGCAGGAAATGCTCAACAATAAGAATAACTACTAGATGAATCTAGCAAGGTGATAAGATATAAAGTTAATATAAAATCACTTTACATTCTTGCAGACTATCAGCAAAAAACTGGAAGATGGAGTTAAGAATTCTATTTATAACAGCATAAAAAAATAAAAGATTCAGAAAATTTTTTTTAGATATTTAAGACCACTACACTGGATACTAGAAAATATTGCTAAGAGAAAGAAGACTAATAAATAGCTAAAGAAACTATACTCATGAACTGGAAAACTCGATGTTAGGATGTCAATTCTCCCCCAAGTTGATGTATAGATTCATCATAATACCAATGAAAATCCCAGCAGGCTTTGTTCAGAACCCACACAAAACTTAAAAGCAAAGACAAGGAGACCCTGTGACATTTGGGCCCAGAGAACAGGACAGGTTATCAGAGAAGACAGTACCATGTAAGACAATATATACAAGGAGAGTAAGTGGGGAGCTCAAGCGAAAGATGCCTCCATGTTTGTCCCAGGTCTGGGGCCAAGGAAAGCTACCCAGAAAACCTCAACTACAACCTGGAACCCTTCAGAATGACTGAGCTTGTTTTTATTGCCATGGCCTCTGCCTCCCCAGTTCTCTCTCACTCACCAGAGCATGTGCTTCCTGTCCCCACCTTCTTCACCATCCAGGGCTCTTTTCCTTGCTCCAGCAGTGAGATCACCTCTGGCTTAGAAAGTGAAAGTCCTGCTTGTAAGAAATAAGGGGAGTTAGCCAGGCCCTTATCAGATCAGGCCCTTGGTCCCCAGGAGGTGGGTAATTATAGAGGGAGGTGAGGATGGGGACAAGTCCCATGAAGCCGCTAGTTCTACAGAACTCAGCCTGCGGGAGAACCTGGAGAGACCCCAGTGAGGTGTATCAGAGGCCTCTCAAACACCATGTGGAGAGCAGCCCTGTGTGGGGTGCTGAATTATGGGGAGACCTCACCCAGTGACACCAGGCTCCTGTAGTTCTCCAACATCACCTTCCTGTACAAAGTCCTCTGAGCAAGATTCAGCCATTCCCACTCCTCTTGGGAGAAAGCTATGGCCACGTCCCCAAATGTCACCAAATCCTGAAATGACAGACATATTCTTGCCAAGCTGGTGTTCTTACCCTACATGGGCGTAGTTTGAAGAGCTAAATCATCTATACTTTTGGAGAGAAATACTACATATAGTGAAATTCTCTGGTGGTATCTTAGGTTCTGAGCAACACACATCAAGTAATCGCTGGGTGACTTCTCTGTGCTCAGTATTGATAGTGCTGTGCTAAGTGTACAATTTCATAGTCTCTACTGATGAAGAAAGGATTTGTAACACACAAAAATGGGCAATAACACCACTAAACAACTGTAAAATAATACAGTTAGTTATTCACCCTAAATGCTACAGCATTTCTGAGTCTGGAAAATCAGGATAGACTTTGGCAGTGAAGAAAGGCTTCAGGGACGAGACAGGAACATGAGCTAAGACTTCCAAAATGTATGTGGTCTAAACTTGCATCTTCCCAACTCTACTGTGGCCTGTTCCAGATATATCAATATGTATACATCCTATATACACACACATATACAGCCTATCTTATTAATGCTTATAATATTGACATTCTAAAGTTAAATATATATGTAATAAAATAGTAAACAAGTTTGATAGTGATTTTGCAAAACCATAATTTAAACAAATGTACACCACAGAGAAAAAGCAGGGACAACGAAAGATTCTCTAGCAGCTCTTGGTAACCCCACTGAGTTCCAGCTGGAAACCTCTCAGCTGGCCATCTAAGAGACAAAATAATAGCAATTTTAAGCACTGCTAAGTAGCTTAAATAGCGAACATTTCCAATGTGATCATGAAGTGCATCAAAAATACCCACAGCTCTCACTGGAGGGACATACCCAATTTCGCATGTCTAAGGAGCAAAGGTTTTTTGAGTATTACAAGACCGCTAGCTCTCAAACACTGCTACTACATGGTGAATTAAGGATCTTATTTATAACGTGGAACAAGACCTAGTCTGCTCCCCCAAAATTCAAAATGCATATCCTTCCTAAGAGATACATCTGCTCCATACTTACCAGGGCTTGCTGCATACGGTTTCACATATGATTCTTAGGTTTGGCATGGCACAGAGCAGCACCCACTCTTAGCTGGGCTGAGGGACAGGTGGCACTCAATGGGACACCCCTGGAGAGCTGAATTGGCTGCCACAGTACTGAACTACTGCCACACAGGTTGGTAAATAGCTACTGCACTGAGCCCTGCTGGCACCCGTGCCAGATCTCCCCTCCACCCAGCATGGCAGCAGCCTCCGGGACCCCAGTGGAGTAAGCTCTGGTGTCCCCGCCTTATTGGTTGTCAAATACAAACCTCACTCCTACTCTTCCCATAACGCTCCTACTGAAGACAAGTTTAAGCACATCAGTGATTTCACACAAACATTTTTCATGGAAAAACCAAGTCACTATATGAATCGCTACTGCCTGAGAAATGGACAAAACGTTAAGTAGCTCGAAGGGAAGCAAAAGTACGGCCCCAGGAAACATCAGTTCCATGCATCAGCTCCCATGCTACATGCTTCCACCTCTAGAACACTTCATAACCCAGGGAGATCTGAGGAGTGAGGCTTCAGTAATGAAGCAAACACGGGTCGGGTCTGAAAAGATGAACCTTGTTCTAGACAGTGTAGGCACTGTCACCCACCAGCTCTACTAGAACTCAGGCTTTTGATACCAACTCTTTTAAATTTATTTCTTTTGTAGATGGAGGTGAGGTGAGGTAGGTTTTGCTAGATAAAATTCTTTTATTTATCTTTTTTAATCCTCACCTGAGAATATTTTTCTATTGCTTTTCAGAGAGGGGGGGAAGGGGGAGGGAAAAGGGGGGAGAGAGTGGGGAGAGAGAGGGAGGAACATCAGTGTGAGGGCAGGGATGGAGCCTGCACCTGAGGTACATGCCCTTGTCTGGAATCAAACCCAGGACCCTTCAGTCTGAGGGCCATGCTCTTAACCACTGAGGAAACTGGCTATGCTAGATAAAGTTCTTAAAAGACATTCTTTCGCTGCACAGACAAATAATGGATCCTGGGTTTCAACTGTCTTACTGACATTTTTCTTTTGGCCAATGAGACTTGACTACCTTTCAAATATTTTTATATTTATGTTGATGTGGTAAAACAGAATTTCCATACAATTTGTTATTAAGGAAACTTAGGAAATGATATTCAGTATTTTTACCTTCAGTGAATTTTTTTCCCTTTTAGTCCTCCACCCCCCACATTTACCTACCGTGTCACCCTAACTCCTAGAAGCAATCAGAATTTACAGTTAGTATATATTTGTTGAAATATGTCCTTATCAGACATATCTGTGTTCATCTGTCCATATCTATTTACATATAACATCAGTTTTGTTGGATGGGTAACATTACAGGCTATGAACAAGCCATATCTTACTAACCCTGACTATTTTCAGTTATATGAATCTTCATTTTTCACTCTGATGCCGCAATGTCTCTACTTCCTTAAAATAAATTTCTAGACAGTATTCTCTCCACTGAGACTAGGATCTTCCAAAATTACTTAACCTCAGAAAAAATTTTAAATTACACTATTTTGACCCAGCAAGAATAGGAGCTAATGAAAAACAGTTCAGGCTGGGAGTAAAGAACTGACCTGCACTCAAAGAAATACCAACAGGGGTTCTTCAGGTAGAAGGAAAAGGGAAGGAAATGAAGGCATAGTCACAGGAAGAAACAAGAGCCCCAAACAGTAACTATAAACCGTATGTGACATCTAAGTGTCTTGGAGGTAAACCACTAGAGAGGGGTCTTTGTCCTGCCAGGAAGTGGTAAGGGTACTGATTACAGAGGAAGAAAGGGGGTTACTACCCAGTGAGACATGGATACATACCATTCTAGAGTTGCCACTAAAGGAACAGTAATAAGGGGAAATACCTGACTTATCCCAAAGGAGAAACAGGAGAGATGAAGAACAGACGGTATCAGTAGGGAGCACACTGCAGTGTGGGCGACGTAGACACAAATGTATCACTAATTACACTGAATGAAAATGTACCAAACACTAATTAAAAAGCCAAGATTATCAGACTGGATTTTCAAAAATCAATGTTTTGCAGGGAGACGCAGGGACTGTAAGAGGCAAACGGCCACTCAAGTGCCCAGCTGTGAGCAGGGGGAAGAAAACCGGCCAACTATCTGCTGCTTACAAGAGGCATGCTTCAAATACCGTAGAAGCCTTAGAGGCAGAGGTTCTAGCCCTGGCAGGTAGATCAGTTGGCTGGAGCGTCGTCCCGACACAGCAAGGTTGCAGGTTTGATCCCCGGTCAGGGCACAGACAAGAATCAGCCAATGATGCGTGAACAAGCAGAAGCAGAGGCTCTCAGAGAGTGTGCGTTAAGGTCATGCTGGGCCTCCCACCAGAGACGATGATTCAGGAGGTCCAGGGTGGGAACCCAGAAACAGCACTTGGGGTGATGGGCTCTGTCTATTCTACACATCATATCCTCTGCTTTCTCCTTCCATTACCAGGTCAGCGGCAGGAGAGGAAGCTGGCTCTTGCCGCCATGGAACTCATCCCCTTGTTCATTCACAGGTTCATTTGGCAAATACAGGGCGGGGCAAAAGCAGGCTTACAGTTGTGAGTACTTGAAACAGTTTACTTTTGTGTTATTATTTATTAATCATTGTATTATTTTCCATATTAACAACTGTAAACCTACTCTGCCCTGCCCTGTGCTACCTACACTGTTCTAAGAGGTAGGGATACAAAGGTGGACAAAACATAGTCCCTCCCCTTGTTGGCTAATATTCCAACAGAGGAGAGATACAGGTCACACAGCGTCAGGCACTGTTAAATACTCTGACAAAACCCAGGGAAGGTGACTGAGAGAGATGGGGGTATTTATTTGAACAAGAACCTGAATAAAGAGGGAGGGCAGGCCACACCAACACCTAGGGGTTCGAGAATCACAGGAGGGGGAGGGCAAACGCAAAGGTTCAGAGACAGGAAAGAACCTGGTTTGTTTGAGGAACAGCAAGGTGACTGGTGTGACTGGAGCAGAGAGATGTAGAAATTGAGGTCTGGAGTCACACAGGGCCCTATAGGCCAGGATTAGGAAGCTAGTGAAGGTTCTGGGCAAAGGAATGAAATGACATGCTCCGACAGCAGGCACACTGCTCCAGCGTCCTCCGTTGTTCCCTACCGCCCTCGTGAATCCACACTCACCATCATCCATGTTCCTGACCCTCGCGCACGGCTACCTACAACTNCCCTATAGGCCAGGATTAGGAAGCCAGTGAAGGTTCTGGGCAAAGGAATGAAATGACGTGCTCCGACAGCAGGCACACTGCTCCAGCGTCCTCCGTCGTTCCCTACCGCCCTCGTGAATCCGCACTCACCATCATCCATGTTCCTGACCCTCGCGCACGGCTACCTACAACTGCACAGTCACTAACTAGTGTCAGGCACGTGTTCCTTTCCTCCCTTGGCCTCTTTTCTCCTCATCTGTAACATGAGACACTTTTGGACAAGTTCACCCACAATTTTCTTCCTGACTTTATCATTTTATAAGCCTAGATCTGTGCCATCCAATCCACTAGCTACTAATCACATGTAGCTATTTAAATTTAAGTCAATTAACATTGAAAATTCCATTCCTCAGTCATACTAGTACATACAAGCGGTGCATAGCCACGTGTGGCACACTCTATCATCAGTCATCACAGGAAGTTCCACTGGACAGTGCTGATTTCCGCTTCTGGCTCAGCTTCCTCTTTACAACCATTCTGTGTATTTTCATGTAGCAGTTTGCATGGTTTTATTTTTTAGATTTCACCTACACAATGTAAGGAAGAAATGTTTTTCTAAATGAATAACCCATCCCTTCACTGATTTAACATCATTACATTATATAATAAACTAGTAGATACTAAAGTCCATGTAGACAGTTTTTATTTGCCACAGTATTGCGAGCACTTAGTACAGTACGTCTTTAATAACTATATGTTTAGGAGTGAATACATTTTTGCCATTCTTATTTATATTTGCATTTGTTTCTAGACATTATATGCTGATCTTTTCATTTGTTCCTTCTGGCTCTAAACTATTTACTGTTACAGATGTATGTAGCCATTTTTAGATGTGGCTTTAAGTACTCCCTACTATTATTCTTTTTTTATATAAAACGTTTTTATTTACTTTTTCTAGAGAGAGAGGGAGGGAGAGGGAGAGAGAGAAACCTTAATGTTAAGAGCAAAATATCAATCGGTTGCCTCCTGCACGCCCCCTACCAGGGATCAAAGCCCACAATCTGGGCATGTGCCCTGACGGAGAATCAAACCAGCAACCCTTCAGGCCACTGGACAACGCCCAACTAACTGAGCCACACCAGCCAGGGCCCTACTATTCTTTTACAAAAAAGTTCCTGCTGTTTTTCCATATTAATTTCACTAATCTTAACTGGATGACCTAGAATATACTAGCTGTAGGCCACTACCTACTCAGGATGTCCCTAAAACAGGGCCTCATTACTCCCATGGAATTCTACTCCTCAATGCCCACAGCCTGAAGAAAACCCCAGCTCTAGCTGACCCATGCTTTACTACTCAAGACCTCAAAATCACCTTGAACGGGAGACCTTGTCCTGTACTGACTAAGACCACCCAACAGCCCTCATCTTGCCTTCCTCTCAAACCCAGGTGCGTGGGAAAGCTCTAGGCTAGTGGTCACACCTGCACACACACCTCGACCTCAGTGAATCAAGTCCCTCCAATGAAGGCTCTCATATCCCACCAAAGAGTGTATTTTTAGAGCTCCTAACCCACAGGAAACGCTAAACTATTTCTTGAATGAAGATGAAAATGCTAAGAAAAAGAGGAAGCTCACTCGGTTTTTGGGGATCCCACCTTTTACTGAATTGGAGAACATGAGAACCAGCCCAGGGACTTTGTTGGGCTGGCAAGTTTCAGAAGAAAACCAAAATGTTCATATAAGACCTGAAAACCAAGGCATTTCGGGGAAGAGATGCTTCCTTACCTTGGACATGGCTCTAAGAATTCAAGGGCGTAGAACAGCTTTGTCGTCTTCCCTCAGGCTCCTCTCTGGTAGAAGGGCAGTGTCCGAGAAAACAGGGCTGGAGAGGGAGAAAGAAGTCCTGCATCACCAGCCTAGAAACCCCCCTTCCCTTCTCCCCCACCACAGACACAGATTAGAGGTGTCGCTGAATCGGTCATTCCCGTGTGCTTTAGATCTCAAGAACCCAGCGTAAACTTTGTGCCTAAGTCAGCTCCTCAGTTCTAATTATAAACAGCAGCAGCCTCTACCCTTCAGAATGGCACTACTAAGTAAGGATTTCCCACCCTTCCCACATGAAATTATTCAAGGCCTCATGGTAATAAGTAATTGAACCCAACTGGAATCAGTGTCCAACTTTTAACCTTTCCAACAAATGATGCTGTTGAAGGGAAATATGTCCCCACCCTTCCTACAAAGATGAGAGAGAAGCCAGAGTGGCTGCCACAGAGAAAGCATCTTTACAGAGCAGGCATCAAAGTGGCCATGTGGTCTGGAGACAACCGGGCCAAAGAGTCAGGATACCGCGCTTCTGGTCCTGGTTTAGAACAAACTGCACCTGAAAACCAATCTCTCCACTTTTCTGAGCAATTCTCCACAAGATGGAGGCGAGAGACAACACACGAACAGTCCTGAAACCCCTTAATCAAGAGTTGTTTCTGGTCCTGGCCAGGTAGCTCTGTTGGTTAGAGCGCCGTCCCAGTATACCAGAGCCGTGGGTTCGATCCCCAGGCAGGGCACGCACAAGAACCAAGCAATGAGGTGGAGCAACAGCTCGGTGCCCTTCCCTCCCTCTCTCCCCGCAAAATCAATTAAAAAAAAAAAAAAAAA